GAACCTGGCACACACTCCCGGCAGAGGTGGCGTGGTTGCCGTTCTTGGAGGTGTTCAAGAGGAGGCTGGATAAGCACCTTGTTGAGCTATTTTGAACTCATTAACCTCCTGCCTATGGCAGGGGACCAGACTTGATGATCTTATGGGTACCTTCTGGTCCATTGACTCTTATGGACTCTTATTGGCCTATGTCTTCATTTTAAGAAATGCACAATGTGTACACAACAAAAAAACACCTAAATCAGGACAAATATATATATTTTAAATAAAATTAAAATATGCTGTTGTCAATGTTTGACTTTTAATATATAATTTGGGGGGTTTTTGGTTCCAAGATGGCAACCCTCCTTGCCAAAAGGAGTACTTCTGGGGGCAAGGGGAGGGACTGTCAGTGGCAAAAGTCTGGGGTTAGCGGGCAGGACTTCTGGTCCCCAAGATGGTGACCAGGGGGTGGGGCACCTGTCAAGGGGCAGGGCTACCCTGCAGCCCTTGACATTTTGCCAAACCTCATTAAGCAGCACTGCACGTGAAATAATTGCCCGCCCCCGGTCTACTTAGAAAAATGTGAGCCATAATGCACCAGGAGCAGCCACTGGCCCAACAGTTTCTGACCAGCTGGTTGTGGGGTGGCTTTTCCCCAGCAGAACATGGCAGCAGGATGGGGGCCATGGTAGAAAGCCAGCTGGTACAGAGTGGGTTTGAGGCAGGGCTCACTGTGTCCTGGGAAGGAGTGCCCCGAAACTGCACTGGGTCACCTGACTTAATAGCTTCAGCTTTGCGCAGTGGCAATATCATAGCCTGGGAGGTTGAACTGAGGCATGATTGTTGCTAGTTGAAAACTTTCACCCAATGCCCTGCCCTACCAGCTTGCAATATAGCTGTGGTGGGCAATTTTTGGTGGCCTCTATAGAGGCTGGTATTTTTCCTGCGTTTGAAAAACAGTGAATTTGGGGAGTTGAGCAGTTGGATGCACTTGTTTTTCTGCTTTGCCTTAGCCTAGTGCTGGGTTAAAGTTTTTTTTGGTTTTCTGTGCTATGGTTTCTGGTCTATAGTTTTGCTGTAGCTCTTTTCCGTTGTTTCTGTGGGTCTGCTTGACTTTCAGGCAAAACCCGAAAGAGATAAAAAAGTAGGTCTGATGTGCCGGGGCTGGGACAGCTCTGCTTCAGCCTCATCCAGCTGCTACCGGCTGGCGGGATTTAGCTCTGGCTGCAGCTTACCAGGCGCAGCGAACCGAGCTGCTCTGTCTCCCGACTCCGGTGTGGAGCACGTGCTCGCTGGCTCCGCCCGCCCGGTCGCGCACGCAAGGACGTCGTAAGCTGCAGGCGCCGGAGCCGGCACTGACGCCTCCTCCGCCGGGAGGAGCGGCCACGGCGCAGGTTCCGGGCTGTCTTCATTAGCATGCGGTGTCCCACAATTCTCCGCGCCCCAGTCGGGCCCAGGTTCATGTCTTCAGCGCTCACCGTAACCTGGCGAGGCCTCCGCTCTTGGGGGCCGCGGGCCGGTCGAAAAACGTGTAGCTTTGCGCAGTGGCAGTATCGTAGCCAATGAGGTTAATCCGAGGCGCGATTATTGCTAGTTGAAAACTTTTCCCAATACCCCGCCGTGACGACTTGCAATATAGTCGGCACCGGCAATTTTTGACGGTCTCCACGGAGACTGCGCGTTCCAAGTTGAAAAATAGAAGTGGTTTTGTCTGTGTTTAGTCCCGAGAAAACTGTTCTGGCAGCAGAGCAAGAGAGTGAGTTCAGCAACGTCAGCTACTGCGGGAAGGACCAAGCCGTACTGGGAGAGGGGCTAGGTATCGGTGTGAGTGTCCTTAGTCTTATGCTTTTCTTTTTTGCTCGCTTTTTTTTTCCTTTCTATTTTCTTAACTTTGTTTTCTTAGTTTCCAGTTACTTATTTTTTTCGTAAGCGGGCGCTTCTACCTTAGTTACCTTTGGCTCCCCTTCCACCCCCTCCCTCTACCTTTTGTTTTCGTATTTTCCACCTATGAATACAAGATCTCACCTCTACACCAAGAACCTGGCCTGCCTATGTCCTTAGACCAACACGTCCTCAGTGTCCCCTAGTGCCGTAGCAAGGGGTGGCAAGCAGGGCGACTGCCCGAGGTGCCCAAGCGAAGGAGCCCAGCTGTGGCTGGGTGCCAGACAGCGCCGGAAGCAGCTCATTTAGGGGGGCATGAGGACAGGGGAAGGGTGGCTCCCACCGCTGCATGCGCTCCCCGGCATAGGTGGCAGAAGGCCGGGGCTAACAGGGCTTAGCGCCCCCCCAAATGTGGGGCAGTTGTGGCAGCGCAGAGGACCACCTGGGTGCAGGCTCCAGCCAGCTGCAGGGGGGAGGGGTGCGCGCAGACAGCCGACTCAGCCGGGCCCTGCAGCGCCCAACAGGTAAGTGTGTAGGGGGAGGGAAGCGTCGTGGGGGGCAGATCGAGACCCCTGCAGTGAGGGAGGCTGTGGGGCAGGGACTGGGGTCAACAGGGCCCCAGGTGGGAGTGTCGGAACCCCGGTGGCTCGTCCACTGTGCGCATCCCCGGGGTTCCGACATCCCCCAATCTGTGCATGGGGTGGAGGTGGGCTGTCACTGCGGGCTGTGCCCTGCGCCCCGCTGCCTCTGCCCAGGTGGCCTCACGAGACTCCCGTCGCTTGGCCGGCGGGGGTCTCAGCGCAGCCAGTGCGCAGGAGGCACATGGCATCGCAGAGCCCGCCTCAGATTGGGGTGCACAGTGCCCAGAGACCCCCACGCCCCTGCACGAGCCACCGCGGCTCCGACCCTCCCACGACCCGTTCACCCCAGCCCCTGCCCCACTCCCTCCCCGTGGGGGCCTGGATCTGCCCCCTCCCCAACACCCCCCCCGCGCACACACTCTCTCTCCTGGGTGTGTGCGTGTGTAGAAATATCATTTCAGTTTTACTCAGCACCCCAAATAAGATTTTCTCCCTCCGCCCATACTCCCGGGCAAGTGCCCCCCATCTGTGCGCGGGGCGCAGGTGGGCTGCTGCAGCTGCGGGCTTTGCCGCAGGCACCAAACGTCATTGCTGCGGCACCGCTATCACTTTCTTGCAGCCACAGAGCTGGTCCCAAGGAAGCTCTCAGCCCCGCAGCTCCAGTCCCTGCCTCTCCTCCCACCCCCAGCCCGAGGTCTCCGCGGAACAGCCGCGCTGTGCGCTGTGAGCTGTCTGCAGCCCGGGCTCGCGGCTGTGCGCTTCCAGCCGCACGGGGGCGCCCCCGCCCTTCCACCGCGCGGCCCTAGCGCCCACTGGTCTCTGCCAGCGCTCCCCCCCGCGGCTGGTCCCGCCCCCAGCGCCCGGCCCCTCGGGAACGGGGGCAGACAACGCCCCGTGACACGCTGCTAATTTGCATACGGTCTCCCAGAATCCTTTGGGGGTAAAGTATGGTGTTTGAACGGGAGGAATGGAGAAGAACCCCTGAATCCCGAGGCACAGAGTGGTGTTATGTGTGCGGATGTCATGTAGGGGCTCCAGCAGTGTCTTTGATTCAGTATGAATTGGAATGCAATATTACCCTAACATGTCGGTGTGCGCTCTGCCGGGGGGCTCTGGTGCCGGGAACACAACGATAGCTTTGCGCAGTGGCAGTATCGTAGCCAATGAGGTTAATCCGAGGCGCGATTATTGCTAATTGAAAACTTTTCCCAATACCCCGCCATGACGACTTGAAATATAGTCGGCATTGGCAATTTTTGACAGTCTCTACGGAGACTGAACATTCAGGTTAAAAAACAGCTAATAATCTTCTGACATTAGTAAACTCAGATGACCGTTATGGGTGACAATGCTTCTTAATTAACTTTCTTTAACTGTTTTAATTTAGTTTAAATGTTTTTGAGAACATCGCGTCTTTATTGGGGGCGTGTTCGTTTTGGTGTTGTCTGTATTGGTGTTACTCTGCCTTGTATTTTTTTCTGTCTAGTCTATTGCAGTGGAGTGAAGATGAAAAGTTTTAAAATCTCCAGTAATGTGTGCTTGTTTCCTTGCTTACTAAGTGCTAGTAATAGGTTTTTGTTGCTGTTTCAAACCTGATAGTGTCATTCTTAAAAATGAAAGGAAGGAAAGAATAAGGGTGAGAATGCACAATGGATTATTTTCCGGTCAAGTCTGTTCAGCAACAATGAAATAATATATCTGAGGGAAAATCAGCCAAATATTAATTTGTGTTTTAAGGACGAATCAGGTATTTCTGTAAGAAAGGGAAGGAAGTGTGGGACAGGCACAAGGACTCTTGGAAATGTTTAAAGACATTTCACCATCTAGAAACTGAGAGACAATAGATGATACATTTAGTGCAATGTAATTCATTAGAGTTTGTCCGCTGGAATTCACTCATAAGCCTGTGTCCTTGCTCTCAAAAACTAGATTTGCCCCTGTGGAAGGATCTGCTGAGTAGTGGCTTGGTGTAATGCCCTATTCCAGATGTAAATGAATGTGTCCTATGAAATTGTGGTGCAGCTGCTGTCATGTTTAGTGCATAGGTGTCATCTAAACAGCTGGGGACTAAACAGTTCAGACCTTCCATATGGTGACAGACCATCATATACTAACTCTGTAGTTCCCATTGTTGAGTCTGTATGTTGAAGATGAGAGCAGCCACGATCTGTCATTTTGTGGCAATCAGAATTTTTCTTTGTAAATCTATCTATCTATCATAGTTTTATATATCTATATCTACACACACACCTTCTAGTCCCTGTTCATTACCTCCATAACCCACTAGAAGAAAACCTGCACACCCATTACAGTATGTGCATGTGTGTAATGACACTCCCATGCACCCGTCTGCAAGGCATCATCTCCCTTCAGCCCCCCCGTCTCTCAGTCCAGTCCCCAAATACCAGGTTTAAAACTCAGTACATCTGCTGTTGCTTCCACTGGAGGACCCACTGCTGCTGTCACTTCTGCCATTCTCATTGCTGTCTTCTGATTTGGTTGTCTCAATGTCCTCTTCACTGTTGCTGCCCATTTCTGTAAACTGGTGGTGGGCACAGAGTCCAAAACAGCCTGTCTCGTGAGATATTTTGCAAGGCACCTCCTGAGACAATGGGGGGGGGTGTTAACACCAATCAATGGAAGACCACGGCTCATGGGCCAACCGTGGTTCTATGAGACCCTGAACGAGTTGCACAGCATGTATGGTCTACAGAGTGCAGGCCCCACAACCATGGCCAACCACAAGAAAATACAGGAGGCAGCGAGAAAGAGAGACATCATGTCACCCATGGACCTGCTTCTGGGTAATGCTTGCCAAGCTGTGTGGGAACACATCTTCCACAAGGACCTGTGTAAAGACCACAGAGACCTGAACTGGGTGATAGCCCACTGAGCCCTCCCAGTGGGGCCCGAAGACATAGAGAAGGACAACTGGGGAGATGAAGCTGCCTGAGGAATACCTGCCAAGGAGCCACAAAGACTACTGATCACCTCCTATGGCTCTGCTTGTATGCCAAGGAGGTGTGGAAGAAGGAAAAGTGGCTCTGTAAAGCAGTGACAGAGGAAAGATAGCTGTCAAGAGAGGCGGCGCTGTAGAGGCATTTGACTAAACACCAGGGGAGCCGATCGGCCTACTTCAGTCAGTTCATGTCCTGCATCAGGAGTGCCCTGTGGAAGTCCAGGAAACTCCTGATGTACAGACACACAAACCTCAAGGAGGTAGACTGTGTTAAAACAGCTTTGACTGAACTCCAGTCCTACTACCAGAAATCAGTAGCAGAGGACAGAGAGGATCTAGCCAAATCCGCCCGGCAGAGGGACACTTGGATCAGGATCTTTCAAGACTTCCCCCCAGTAAGGAAATGGACAGCGACAGTGAAGAGGATATTTTGTGGCAGCTAGATACAGAATTAAAAAAAACAAAAACATATATATATTCACTGTGGATTTCTTTAGAGAAAACTCAGGCAAAACCCTGTGTGCTTACCTGAGAAAACTGCTGTGCCCTAATCATAGTTTGTCCTTGAGGCTTAGAGCAGACGATACCCATCATGCTAGGAAAGGCTCTGATCCTCATCACTGCCACGTCAAGACATTGGTTGTATAGCATGCATCTAAGCTCCAAATGGGCCTAATAAATCAGTGTAGGTTCCACGCCCTTCTTTAGGATAGGTTAGTCTGTTGCAGATAAGGGTGTGTTCTTATTTCCCCTCAAAGGTATACACTTAAGATATCTCTCTTTCCTGCTTGATGATCACTGTTAATTTACTCTGTGTTTAGATCCAAACCTTTAAATGGTCAGATCTTAAAGACCACCAGCACAATTAAAAAATCTAGTCTTTTTTCTGGGGCTAGGTATTCAGCAGACACTAGGGGTAAGCCACTCTTCCATCTTTAGGAATGATTATTAGCGAAGTAAAAGTGCATTTGAGAGATACAGACCCCTGTGAATATAGGAGGATACAGGGAGTCTCAAATTCTAATCTTGGCTTTGGGCAATCTGGGGGGGAGGTATTGATATCTTTTATTGGACCAGCTGTATAGTTGGGATAAAGTTAGAGAAGCTTTTGAATGTAAAGCAATCTTGGGTTTGACATCAACTTAGTTTGTGTGTTGATCCAACTTCCTGGCACACTTTCCCATCTATAGAACGCAAGTAGAGCGCACAACATAAAATGTGAGGCAAAAAAGATTAAAGTAAAACATTTGGATGGTGAAATATCCTGTGTCTTTGAGGGCAACAGATGTGGGGCACTGAATCTTAAAGTAACGTTAGTTGTTTCTGCCTGGAATGAAGAAACCTGCACTACTATTCTGTAGGCTGTACTTGCTCTGACAGAGATGACTTCATTCCCCAGCACTGCTCATCTGGCACATTTCCCCAGCAGTGCAGTCACTTTCTTCTGTAAGGAGATGGCTCAATGCAAAGTTAACTCATGTCATTTCCCCCTCCCACCTTGCCAGCTTCTTGAGAAGATGTCCTCTAGGTCAGTGGTTCTCAGCCTTTTTTGTAACAGGACCCGTCTGTAAACATTGATGGCCAGTCCTGACCCTGTGCCCCTCACTCCTGACGCACTGTCCCCAGGCCCCAGCTCCTCAGTGTGTGGGGCAGCAGGGGGGTGGGGAGTATGGGTGTGGGGGGTGTCAAGCAGCCCTTTGTAGGCTGGAAGTCTGGCAGCCTGCAAGGGAAAACCCATGGTTTCCCACGTTTTTCTTCTTTAGAGAAGAATCCATTTTTAAAGTTTATTTCTGACCTTTTCATATATTCTTGCGACCCACTTTTGGGTTGTAACCCACAGGTCGAGAAATGCTGCAGCTCACCATGCTGATCTGATGGAGTTTTGCTCCATAACTGGAGAACTGCAGTAACTAGTGCTAAAAGCTACATACAAACAGGACTTGTGTGAACTGCAAAGTGATATCTGGCTTAGAAGCAGGGAACAGATGGATATCAAGATAATCCAACCTGTGGGGCTGGAATCTCCATCCTTGGAGGTTTTTAAGACCTGGGTAGACAAAGCCTAGGCTGGGATGATATAGCTGGGGATGGTCCATCTGCTTTGAGCAGGTGGTTGGACTAGATTAGTATTTTTCAACCTGTGGGGCATGACCTAAAAGTGGGTTGCAAGAATATATGCAAAGGTTGCAAACAAACTTAAAAAATGAAACAAGAAACTTAAAAAATGGATTCTCCTTTAAAGGAGAAAGCTGTAGGAAACCATGGCTTTTCCCTTGAAAGCTAGAAGAGTTCCAGCCTGCAAGGGGCTGCTTGGGATCCACACTGCCCCTCCCCCCCCAACACATCCACCCCAGCCCTACACACTGAAGGGCTGGGACCTGGGGACAGGAGGCCAGTGGGTTAGGAGTGAGGGGCACTGGGGTGGGACTGGCCATTGATGTTTACAGATGGGTCCTGGTACAAAAAAGGCTGAGAACCAATGGACTAGATGACCTCTTGAGGTCCTTTCCAGGCCTAATTTTCTATGGTTCTATTATGACTCTATGCCCATAGGGTGCATCTACACATGCCGATTTAAGCCATATTAGCCATTTTTAAGGTGCATTAAGGGCACAGGTCTACACGTGTGGGCCCTTACTGTGCCTTAAAAATGGCAGTTTTAGGCTATTCATGCCTAAGTTTGATCCCTGCAAAAGCAGGGATCAAATTTAGGTGCAAATAGCTAAAATGCCTTAATGAACATGTAAGCACCCTAAGGTGCATTAATGCAGTGTATATCGACTGACTTGGAACTCACTTTAGTCCCAAGTCAGTCCTCACACCATGTTAATGTGCCTTAGTGCAGGCTTATAGACACACACCTAAATTGCCTTAATGCATATTAGGCAAATGTATATTACATTTAGGCGCACATAGAAGCATGCGTAGACACCCCCTATGGCCTTGGGGGAAGGCAAGGGTGGGACTTTTCAATAGACTGTGTTCTCTAGAGATTGACAGGTAGACTGGGGTAAAATGTGTCAGCAATTTATAACAATGTCCTCCCACACAGTGACCTGCCTCTGTGTCATATCCCTCCCTTTGCCCCTGGACTTCCGGTCATTCTCTCTCTCTTTCCTGTCATTATTGCTCTGTTCTTGCTCCGCCTCACATAATGTTTCTTTATCTTTCCTCTTGGCATTCTGTTGAGAGTCAAACACAAGGTCAGCGAGTGTACGTGCCAGGTATTCATGCCTGGGGTGAGCACTGTGTGCAGTACAGTTCCCAGAGCATCTGGAATGGGGGCTGCTGGCGGCATGCATCATGGGGCCGGTCTGGGTCAGTTCAGAGCCAGGGGCAACACCAGGGGCTGAATAACAGGACGCTGTGAGGTGTGCTTGGTACAGACTGTGGGGTTTTTTGCCTTCCTGTGTAGCAGGTAGGTGTGGCCCTCTACTGGAACCTCTTGAGCGAAAAGGGACACTTGGCCCTTGGTTCAAAGACCCCCTGGGAGGGGGAGCAAACAGGGAGAATGAAGAGGACAATGATGCAACTGGACCCAGAGACGAGGAAGACAGCATAAGAAGCAGCAGCAGCTGAAGTGACAGTGACATCAACAATGAGAAGGACAGGGAATGAATTGAGAATGTAAACTCTAAATCGGCATCTTGGATGAAAGGACTGCAACTGGGTTGGGGAAGGGCAACGGGTCAGTGCGTGGGGGTGCATGGGAGTGGGTGTATTTATTGTAATGGGTGCACAGCTTCTTAATGTGGTTTAAGGTGTGATGGAAAGTTTTATGCTAGATGATGTATGTGTGTGTGGATATATATATATGTATGTATATATATATATATAAAAAGAAGTCTATTGACAACATTTCACAGAAGCAGTATGCTGGCTGCCGTGGTTCCCCTGCTTTACCTGTCGTTAGCAGGTTAGGGTGTTAGGTCTATGTTGTGTCAGGGTTGAGGGTAGTCTGATGTAGTTTAAATTATGGTTGTTTGGGATGGTTTGGGCAGAAAAGATCCTGCCTCAGGCAGGGGGTTGGACTAGCTGACCTCTGGAGGTCCCTTCTAGCCCTACTTCCCTATGACTCTATGACTAGCTACACCCAAGTGATGCTAGTCTGTCTGTGCTAGAGTGGTGCCTGACTACAGCAAGGGCCAACCTTTTTAGCAGATGTGACCCAAATTAAGCTCCACGCCCTCCCTTAGTGCCATTCTGATCCCCCTCCCCTGCCTGTTCTGCTGTCCTGCTTTCTGCTTCATGTCCAGTCTGCTGCTCTGCTTTCTGCTCCCTGCCCTCTCTGCCACTGTGCTCCCTGTGCTTCCCTCAGTCTGCCATGTGACACACAGCGGCTGCCTGTGCCACTTGTGACTTGCATACCGTAGGTTCCTGTGGAATTGCACTCATTTGAGTTTTAGCCTGTGTCTCCTGTTGGTAGTGATGATAAGTTCAAAGCACCAGTACAACTGAGTGAAGAGTTTTAGTGTGTGGATAGCAATTGATCTTGGATGTGCACTTGAGTTAGACCTTGAATTAAGCTGCAGTGAAGACAGAACCGTAGAGGCTTGCTTGGAAGCTGTGTTACTAGATCTGTATCACCACTGAGTGAAGGCCCTTCCATTTTCACTTTGCCGGACAATACATACAAGAGTTCAGTTCATAGAGCAAAGCCTGGGAATTCTGGTTCCCATCTCCCGTCTGAGCTTTCCTTCAATTCAGCGGCTGGGGAGACGGCTGTTTCCTATGGGCCTGATCCTGCTCACACCTGTTAATTTCAACTGGGGTGGCAAACACCCAGGATCAGGCCAGTTGTTCATTTTTCTGTCATGCCTTGATGGGTACTTGTTCAGAATCAATGAGTCCAGAAATGGTCTTGGATTCTGGGCCGAACTCCGTGCTAGTTTACATTCAGGATTTTTAATTACAATTGCACCCAATGGAAGTCAACAGAGAAATGACCTGCAAAGCCATTCACCAGCGTTGCCCTTCTTGAGTCTGTACTTCTTAATGGATCTCCCTATCTGTGCTGTTGCCCTTACAACACTTCCTGTTATGGGCATACCGTAATTCTCCTTCGCAATAGCACTGTTTGCTACAGGACTGATATATTTGACAGTAAATCTGCCTTCATCTGTTCCAGCTGAATGCTTAAAAAGTTAGCTTGGCTTAGCCTACCTGGGTGTGCTTGTTGTGGGACACAGGCTTCTTGCTTTACAATGTATCATATTTGGTCCTAAACTCTGGACTGCTAAATGTCCCTCTATGACATTAAAGATAACCGTTGCAAACTCGGCCTCTCTGCAAATGCAACACGCATCTTTGCTTGTTTGGAGCCTGATGCAGATCAAGGAGGGTGCCTGTTGTTCGCTGGAAGCAATCTGTCGATTCCAGACAAGGTCTGAGGCCGGGCAGGGGAAGAAAAACTCTTCTGGTGAATTTAGACGTTCCTTGCAGCAGAGCTCCCCTTCTGCTTTTGGACTTCTCTAGTCCAGGCTGCATTGAAGCACATGACACCAGTGGCAGTCGACTGGCAGAGAGTGGCAAGGGAACAACACCCGCACGTGGCATTTCCAGCGCCCACTGTCTCGCTTAACGGGAACTCCCCCCCTTAACCAAGTCCATGATGCACGCTTGGTTGATATTTGCACCAAGCAACATCCATACATACAGCACTGCCTCGGCTGGATTCAGGGTAAGGCCTGAGCAGCCAGGAGCAGGGGGGTATTTCCGTGCCACTCTCGCGCTAGTCCTCGCTCTGCGCTCTCTCGTGCCTCGTGGACCCTGCTCGCTGGGAGAGGGCGCCGGCCCCTTCTCGGGGAGCCACACACCGCCGGCCGCTACCCTCGCGGCTCTGGTCGCTCCCCAGGGCCCGATCCCGGCAGACGGGCGGCGCTATCCCGGCTCCGCGGCGAAACCTGCCCAGGCCGGGCACGGCGCGGCCCCCCCCAGCCTCGGGCTCAGGACAGCCCGCAGGGCCTGGCCGCCTCCTTCCGCCGCCTGCGGGCGCGCTGCTCGCGTGAGCCGAGCCCAAGGTCCCCGGGGCGGGGCGG